AAATCCTTGGAAGCTCTCTCGGGCTTCTCTCTTCGTGGAAGTCGGACGGAACACCTCCAAAGGTTCCTCGGAGGCGTCTGGATCGACCTCTTGCGTCTTTGAATCGATTTCCGCCGGCCCTGGCGCTTGGACTTCCAGAGTAGCTCGACAGCGCCCTCCAGACCCGCGACCTCTTCCCCGATGTCCTCTCCCACCCCGTTTCCCTGGTTTGCCGGGCCGGCCGCGAACTCTACCAGTAGCTCTTTGCTTCGGGGTTGCTCGAAATGGTCCGTGAAGTGCCCATCCTTCTCTCTGTTGTCTCCGCCATACGAATTATGTTTGGCCGCGCTCGCAGAAATCCTCGTGGCTCCCGATGAGGCTCCCTTGGGCAAGAAGCGCAACCAGAATAGATGTCCGATTTGCTTGCAAGAGTTTCACGATGTCCACGTCGCCATCTCCACCATCGCAAAAATTCCCAACGCGCGCAGAGCCGCCGCCCGCTGGTCAGCCCAAGGTGGTGTCGACACGGCGTTTGTGAAAAGCTCATAGCGTTTGTTCGTCGCAGTCGCCCCCGTCGCATTCGCGGCTCGCCCAACGTTTCACATCGATGACTCGCTGCGGCATGCAAGTGGCCCAGCCGCATTGGCAAACGCCTCGGTTGAGATCCTGGATCTTCACGCTCGGTCGATAAGTTGCCGCTGCCTTTGACCAGCACTGGGCATGGCTCACGCGTGCTGCGGCTGGTCACGATGCCAGCTTGGACGGACACCCGCGGTCTTGATGCCGCCAAACTTGCGAGGGGGAGGCGGGGGCAGGACAAAATGGCAAGGGGGATGGTGGGGAAGAAAAAAAACTTCAAACAAAAAACATGGTTTCAGACATTGAGCCCCGTCGTTTCGGAGACTACGCTGGAAGATTTCGGCGGGGGGAAGATGTTTGGAGGAGGGGGCGATGTTCGGGGGAGGAGGAGGGAGGAGGAGGATATTTTCGGAGGAGGCGGGCATTTTCGGAAGAAGGGAGGCCTCCGGAGGAGGGAAATGTTTCCAGAGGAAGGAACGCTTTCGGATGAGAGGGTGTTTCTCTGAGCATTGCTGTTGGCATCGAAGACCGTCTTGAGACGCCATGGGGCCGAGTCTCTGACATTCCCCACCTGCTAGAGAACTACTCCTTTATGGCCGCCGCCAGCAAGACCGAGCCCATGGGGCGGCCCTTCTCCTCCGCCCAGTCGCAGAACCGATCCAGCTCACTGCGATAGATGCCCTCAGCCGCGTTGCCCGCCGCGCTCTCCTGGAGAAACGATCGGGAGGCGCCGCGGGCCTAGCGGCCACCGCCTGTCGCCGCAACGCCTCCTGTCTCTGTGGCCCAGATCGGGGGGTGCCGCCCGAGACGTAGTTTGTGCTCGCGGATGCAGTCCGACGCCCTGGCAGGGACTTCACGATCAAAGCCTTCGTCACTCCGCGGAGCCTCTCCTCGGACGGCAAGAGGTCGCCGCCGCCCGACAAGCGAGGCAAGAGTCTCATCCCACCTGCTGACGAAGTCGGGCTGCGGGCAGCGCGCAGCGGCAGGTGAAATCTGAAAAAGAAACCCATCTTGAACATAATGATGACGCTACGCTCCATCTGCTGTAGTCCTGCACTATGACCGCCAGACTCCATCAGCTCCCAAGACGCGCTCCTGACCCTCAAGAACGCGATGCACATGTCCCCCAGAAAATTTAGCTTCAATACCTCGAAGGGCCGACACGTTGGTGAGCAAGGTGGTGGGCATCTTGTGCAGGACCCCACACTGGCACATGTGGCCCTGAAGACCTCGAGCCCCATGGTCCACGACGGGCCCGAACTACCAGAGACAAGACGACGCGGGGTTCTCCAAGCTCCAGAGGATCCCACGTCTTGAATCCAGCGAGCATACCTCCGCGGTGTAGACGGCCAGCTCCAACGCCACCGCCTCCTTAGTGCGCTCCTTTCCAAGATTGGGCACCCCTCTCCTCGCCACTGACCAGACCGCGCATGGGGTTCCCATGTGGATGTGCCATATGAGGCCCGAGAGCATTCAGGACTTGACGAGGTATTGCATACGTTTCCAGGCGAGGTCGAACCTGGCGCCGCGCTCCAATTCGAGCGGCGGCCCGACCCGCAAACCAATGGATCGGACAGCAAAGGTGAGCCCCGACTCGCCGGCAAAGAGCTCGAGGGCAACAGTCCCCCGCGCTGGAGAAGGCGCTCGGAGAGGCCCTCCTTCCCAGAGCGCAAGGGCCGATGGCGCTGCTGGCGGAGCGTCGGAGCATGCAGAATTCGAACTGGATCCGGCGGGCTGGCCTTCCAGAGGCAGCCCCGGCTACTGAGACCCGAGACTGAGCTCGACGCAGGCGAGAATCAGCGTCATCCACATTCCCCTTGCTCTCGACGTGCCTCATGTGCCAGCGAATCCGAGCGGCAATCTGGTAGCTAGCCGCCCGCCTCGCCAGCGCGTTGAGGGCCCGCGACTTCGCGCGGCCCTTCTCGCAAGCACAGATCGAAACAAGGTCGTCGCCGATCGCGGCCACTCGCATACCGCGATTGCGGCGGCTGCGGGACGCCCGGCGCAAGCCGAACAGAGACACGCGGCCCTCCTTGACATTGATGCGCTCGTCTGTCCAGCGCCAGCGCCCGCCTCGCAGGCGCCTCCACCTCGGACGGTCATCCCAACAAAGGTCGCTGGCCGGCACCGCGCTCGGCACCTCCACCTCCTCCCGGCGGGGCCGTGGCCTCGGCGCCCGAGCGCGGCGCCCGACTCGGGGTCGGGAGGCTGCCAAACCAAATCGTCCGAGGCCGCCTCCAGCGAGCTCCCGAACTTCGTCTGCGGGCCGGTCGCACAGGGTCGAGACCCTCGCGCAGCAACGTCAGCGCACGCGCCCTCCGGGGGATCAGCCCCTCTGCCAGGCCCCGCGTGCTCGACCCACTCGGGCCGCAGCAAGCCCCTCTTGCAGGGAATCCACGAGCTTGAACCTCCACCTCTCACGATAACAGGCAAGGTCGCGCAGCTCGGAGTCGGTGGCCGCGTTGGACAGCAACGCGTGGCCGACGCCAGAGGAGTCCGAGCAGTTCACCTCGCGGCTGAAGTCGGCCACCAAAGGCGCACTCGCCGAGAAAGAAAGAAGAGGCCCTGCGCGAGCCGCATCGTCCTCGACAGCTGGCGCGAGGCGGACACGGCGGCCGCGGGCCGCGGTCGCGAAGGGGTGGATGGCCTGGAGACAGGACAGCGCCTGCTGTACCAGCCCGAACAAATTGACGACGTGCCCGAGCCAGTTCTCGAGGACGCTCCCGCGGATCTAACGCCGCCGTCGAAGGGCCCGAGTCACCATGTAGACCCGCTAGAGTCGCCGAGGCACATGCCGAAGGCGCTGCTGCCGCCCGTCGAACACCGCGCCCAGTCTCTCGAAGACCACGGCGACGTCCGAGTCGACGTTGGTGCCAATGCCGACCGACGAGGCCGCCTGCCTGAGACGCCCCACGGAGTCGAGCGCCGTCTCCTGGCCCCCAGCGAGCGTCGTGAAGTTGTCCACGTACACGCCCGACACCGCCTGGCCCGAGCGCAGGGCCAGGACTGGGGCCCGCCCCCGCACCAGCGAGCGAAGGCAGACGGCGCTCCTGGACGCCAGGTGCGAGACAGCCTCGTTCGCAAGGTGCAGCGCCCAAGGCCAGCCCATGGCCATGCCGTGGAAAACGGGGTAGACAACCTGAGGGATCGACCGCGACACGCCTCCCGAGGCCATCGTCGTAGACCTGGGGAGCGACCCCCCCCAATCGCCAGCCGCACGGGGGAGGGCGATCCCGAACCAGGGCCCGAGCTCCTCCACCAGCATCTGGTAGAAGCAGTCGCCCACGTCGCTCGTACCGCTCCAGATCTCGGCGACCCCGCCGGGGCCGCCCAGGTCGCGCAGCGCGCTGCCAGCAAGGCCCGCCTCGCAGGAGCCGCCGACCGACCCCAGAAGAGTCTTGGGCGGCGTCTCGCGGCAGCGGTTCGCCCGCCTGGCGTCGATGGTGAGCCTGGCCCACGCGAGGTGCTCCTTCGCGACGAAGAAGATGCCGACCTTCGCCTTCATGCGCCTCCTGAGGCCGATGAGGCTGGCCTGCCTGCGGCGCTCCACGAGCTCGAAGATGCCGTCGCGATCTCGAGCCAGCGTCGGACCCCAATGCGGCCGTGGGCAATCCTTGGCCGCCTGCATCTCCGGCATCTGCTCAGCAGCGCGCGATGCAATGCTGAAAGTGCTCGATGAGGCCGGCCGTCACGGGCGGGAGGAGCGCCTTTGCGTCCTTCGCCCCAGTGTCCGAGCGGCAAATATTGAGCCTGTGGACGTCGTATTCAGCGAGGTTCTTCGGCCCCTGCGGCATCAGGTCCCTGGGCGCCAGGAGCTCCGCAAGGGCTCCGCCATCGTCCAGGTCTCGAGGCGGGGGGGCACGCGCCTTGGCGCGCCGAGCGACGCGCCGCGGGACGTCGCGCCCCAAGGGGGCGCCCCCTGGCCTTCAAATCGTCGCGCGCTTGAGGCGCTTGAAGACGAAGTGGTGGCGGCAGCGAGTTGGTTAAGAAGAGACCTAACCGCCTCGCATTCTCGCCAACGCCGAGAGAGCTGATCACGCCGTCGCTGCCGAACGCATGGATGGGGCGCCGGGAGATGCCTGGCTCGGGGAAGGCGACGGCAGAGGGGGGAGCTCGCCATGCCGCCTCTGAGCACGGAGCCGCCGTCGAACGCAAGCACCTCCACGGTCAAAACTGTCTGCGGGAATGGCCATGCTGAACGGCCGCCCAAGCCTGAAAAGGGCCGACCGTCAAGGTCAACCCTCGTCCGTCTTCTCGTCGCCCCCCGCGCCGCCGCCCTCCTTCAGCCCAGGCGCCTCCTTGGGGTCGGGGTCTGCTCCTTTGCCCCCTTTTGAGCGCGTATCCTCGTTGCGCCGCCCCCATCGGCGGCCGCGCCTGCTTGAGCGTCTGGGAAGTCCCTGGAGCTCTTGATCACCCCCTGGAGCTCCCCGCCCCGCTTAGACCTAGTCCCCGACGCTCTCGCGCGCGGCGGCGCCGCTCTCCGCATTTGGGCCGCCCATGACCGGGTCCAGGCCTGCGTAGTCTGGATGCTTCGCATTCGTCTCCGCAGCCATATCGATGTGGATCTGCCTGTGCACCAGCTGCTTGAAACGCTCCAGGTTGGGCGCATTGAGCTGATCCACCTGATGAGCCTGCCGCTGCGCCTCTGCGTTGTCGCGGAGCTCGTGGAGGGCCGCAGCGCCGTCGCTGACGCCGCTCTCCTGCCTTCACTCGCTCAAAGACCACCATCGAACCAGGCCCATCCCGCACGGCCTCCAAGCACTCCTTGGTCGCGCGCGGGGGAGGGAACGGCCAGTCCTCGAACGTCTCCTCCGTGAAGGGCTCCTCCGCGTCCGAAATCGCCAGGTTGCGCTCCCCCCTCTTGCGACGGATCCCCCGGGTCCTCGAGTCGCCCTCGCTCTGCTCGAACATCTCCTTCCACTCGTCGAGCTTGTCCTCTCTGACCTGCTCCACGAAACGCTTCGCCCCGAGCCGATCGACCGCGCCGAGAGACCCGAACGAGACGAACCGCAGCCCGTCGACCAGCACGTCGTCGGGCACTTCCTTGCCGAAGTGCTCATCGCCCACCTGGTAGACGACCCGCCGCTCGACCTCGGAATCGCCGAAGCCGCCTTCGGCAAGGATGACGGCCTGCACCTTCGCCTGCGCCACGACCTCCTCGAGCTGAGGGCCTGTGACTCTGTCGACGTCGAACGCGTAAGACGCGGCCGCCACATTGGCAGGAAACGGCGCGCGTCTTGACAAAACTTTGCGCCGCTGCTCGTTGTGGTCGTGGATCTGGAGCTGCAGATCAGGAGCGGGGCACGCCCAACGGCCAGCAGCGATGTGATTCAGAAGCACACGATGATGCCACGCCAACCCGTTCTCGTCGTCGGGGTAGGGGACGAGCACCTGCGCATACTTGGCGTCGAGCGTTTGCGTCCCTCAGCTACGCCAGCGTCGTCGGCCCGTTCGTCGCTGGCCGACCGCCGGCCCACGCAGCGAGCCCGCTCGGCGCCGGCCTCGCCGACGCCGCCGCCCCTGCCGGCTCGGCCCGTCGGGTACACAGCCGCGGCCAGAGGCTGCACGCCACCGCGCCGAAGGCGCAGCCCGCCGCAGCGCCAGTCGCGGCGCTCGCGAGCCCGATGCCCGCGCCCAACCAGAGGAGCGAGCCCAGCCCGAGCTCCGGGCACGGCGCGCAGTCCCCACACTGGAGGGCTGTGCACGTCGGCAGCACCACCTGCGGGCACTCCAGCGAGGGTCACGCGGGACAGCTGCTCGCAGTCCAGGAAGTCCGCAGGTGGAGCGCCGCTGGAAGCCGATCGCGGGCAAGGCCTGCGAGGTCGCTCCAGAGGATCTCTCTGAATGATTTGAGCACGCGCAGCAACGGGCGAGCCGAACGCTAGCAGAGGAAAACACAACAACATGTCACATATCAATGCTTGTTACGCATACATGTGCAAGAATGTTTGTACATTCTAGAAATAGAATGTATGTATGTGTGAAAATATGCATGTATGTATGCATGTATGTATGTATGCATGCACGCATGCTTGCATGCATGCATGCATGTATGTATGTGTGTTTGTTTGCATGTGTGTATAAGTATGTGTGTGTGTATGTGTGTGTATGTGTGTATGTGTGTATGTATGTATGTATGTATGCATGCATGCATGCATGCATGCATGCATGCATGCATGCACGTATGTATGTATGTATGTATGTATGTATGTATGTATGTATGTATGTATGTATGTATGTATGTATGTATGTGTGTTTATATGTATGTATGTATGTATGTGTGTATGTATGTATGTGTGTATGTATGTATGTATGTATGTATGTATGTATGTATGTATGTATGTGTATGCGTGTATATGTATGTATGTATGTATATGTGTATGTGTGTGTGCTTGTATGTTTGTATGTATGTATATATGTGGGTATGTGTGTATGTGTGTATGTATGTATGTATGGATGGATGGATGCATGCGTGTATGTATGGATGTATGTATGTAAACATGTATGTTTGTACGTATGTATGTATGTATGTATGTATGTATGTATGTATGTATGTATGTGTGTATATGTATGTATGTATGTATGTGTGTATGTATGTATGTACGTACGTACGTACGTATGTATGTATGTATGTGTATGTGTATGTGTGTGTATGTGTATGTGTATGTGTATGTGTATGTGTATGTGTATGTGTATGTGTATGTGTATGTCTATGTGTATGTGTATGTGTATGTTTGTGTGTATGTATGCATGCATGCATGCATGTATGTGTGTACATATCCGCCACCGTGACGCGAGGCGCGACATGGAGTCACCCCCAGGCTCTCATGTGTCCTCTGTTCTTTGTACTCAGGACTCTGGATTACGGTGTTCTCAGGGATGGGGCCCCAAATTCTCAAATTTCCCGGGCACTCCCGCGCGTTCCTGGGTTGCCCCACATGACTTTTGCAGAAACCAAGGGGCCCCGAGACAAGCCAAGAAGGCCCCAGAAACCGCCCAAGCGGACCCAAGAGGCCTCCAAGACAGCCCACGAACGCTTCACGACCCTCCAAATTAACCCACGACAACCGAAAGAAACTCAAAAACACCCCAAGAGCGCTCCAAGAGGACTCCCAAGATGGCCCAAAGAGGCAAAAACATTGATGCTCATTGTGTTGCTCGATGTGGTTTGAGTTCTCGCGTTTTCGGGCTTCCGACGCTCCAAGATGGCGCCAAAGGCCCCCAAGGGCGCCCCAAGACGGCCCAAGAGGTCCCCAAGAGGGCCCAACAACAGTCCAAGAGGGTCCCAAAACGGCCCAAGAGGCACCCAAGATCGCTCAAGAGGGCGCCAAGACGGCCCCAAGAAGGAGCCAAGATGGGGAACACGAACCGACAATTCGAGCCTTCCGCCCAAAGAGGCTCCCATGAGGCCCCAAGAGGCCCCCAAGAGAGACCAAGAGAGCCCCTTCGAGGCCCCCCAAACGGCCCCCAAGAGGCTTCAAAACTGCCCCCAAGAGGTCCCCGAAAGGCCCCCAACGATATCCAAGCGAACATCCAAGAGGCCTCTAACCCACAACCCAGGAACGGTGGCGGGATGGGCCGAAGGCCACTATCCGCCGCCCCCTGCTTGCAGGGGTGCACGGCGTGCTGGATGTTTCAGGTTTTGGTTTTGGTTCTTTTTCCAAAAGAACTCCCCAGTGGGCTCCGGCCCGTCCCGCCACCGTGCCCAAAAACGGCCGTTTCGCTCGGGACATCCTCAAAAAATCGCGAAGATGGCCCAAGATGGCCTCCAAGTCCGCCCGAGATGGTCCAAGACGGCCTCCAAAACGGCCCAAGAGAGTCCAAGACGGCCCAAGACGGCCCAAGAGGCCCCCCAGAGGCCTCCCAGACGGCCCAAGAGGCCTCCAAGAGGTCCTCCAGGAGAGTCCGAAGAGGGCAAAATCATTGATTTTCCCTTGGTTTTTGAAGGATTTTGGCATTTGCGCCTTTTCGGCTCTCCGACGGCTCAAGACGGCCCAAGAAGCCCCCAAGATCGCCCAAGAGGCCCCCAAGAGAGCCCCCTGATGGCCCAAGTGGCCTCCAAGATGGCCCCTAGAGGGCCCCAAGACGGCCCAAGAGGCCTCCAACACGCCCAAGATGGCCTCCAAGACGCCCAAGATGGCCTCCAAGACGGCCCTGGAGCGCCCCAAGAGGGTCCCCCGTTGGCCCAGAAAGGCCCCCAAAACGGCTCCCGACGGCGTCAGACGTGCCAGGAACCCACCAAGATGGCCGAAGTTGGCTCGAAGCTGGCCCAAAAGGGCCCAAGAGGCCCCCAAGAGGGCCTCCAGGAAGGCCAAAAGATGCCAAAATCATGATTTTCCCAAGGTTTTTGATGGATTTGGGCAGTTCCCTTCTTTCGGCCTTCCGACGGCCCGAGACGGCCCAAGAGCCCCCAAAGATCGCCGAAAGATCGCCCAAGAGGCCTCCAAGACGGCGACGATGACCATCAAGACGCCCACGTGTTCCCCGAAGGCTTTCCAAACCGATTCGGGGAACACATGGTCCGATGGCTTGGCAGGTCTGGCCTCAACGTTCGGCCACATAGGCGCTTCCACAAAGGCAGGGGGCGGCGGTGATTCGCCGTAGGCGTCTTCGATTCATATTCCTACACTTGTATTACCTGGACCCCCCCCCCCCTAAACCAGATCCCCCCGCCCCCAGGGACGCCCCGAACGCCCATTTGGACGTCTCGGCGGCCCCCGGAACGCCCTTTGAAAAGATCCGCTGGCCCTTCCGGGCCTCTCAGGGCGCCTTGCCGGGCCTTGCGAGCAGACTCAAAGCGATCAGAGGGGTCATCGGAAAGGCGCAATAGAGAGACCCAAGACAGCACACGAGCGCTCCAAGAAGAACCTCGATGGTCCCAAGACGGCCAACGAGGCCCCCAATACGCCCCAAGAGGCAGTTAAGAGAGCCCCGAAGAAGCAAATACCAACTCCGATAGGGCAATCCTATTCGGAGAACATCGTCCCATTCCCAGAGGTATCTCTCTCTTTCTCTCTATATCTATATATATATATATACATATATACAATATATATAGAGATATTTATATATATACGCGCAGAATTGCATTATGTACTAAATGATACATAATGTATTAACATTATGTATTATATAGATGTTCTACTATATATAATAAGTTTCACGTAACACACATATATACACGATATAATGCATACCATCTGATATACACTATGCACACCATATATTACTGTATACGATACGACGTACACTACATTATATATACATATGTATGCATAAATATGCACGTGTATGCGTGTACTCATGTGTCTATGTATGTATGTATGTCTGTATGTCTGTGTCTGCGTCTGTGTCTGTGCTTGTGCCTGTGTCAATGTCTGTGTCTGTGTCTGTGTCTGTGTCTATGTCTGTGCGTGCGTGCGAACGTGCGTGCGTGCGTGCGTGTGTGTGTGTGTGGGTGGGTGGGGTGGGGGAGGGGGGGGGGCTGTGTGTGTGTTTAACATATCCACTTGTTGGGTCCTCGCAACGTCCAAAATGGCCCGGTGGGCCCCCGACATCGCCCCAAGTCAACCCAAGAGGCCCCCCAGAGGGCTTGAAGACGGCCCCAGATGGCCCCAAGACTGCCCCAGAGAGCCCCGAGACTGCCCACAAAAAGCCCAAGATACCCCCAGAAGGCTCCCAAGAGAGACCTACGAAAGCCATGGGAGCCCCCCAAGAAGGCCATGGGAGGCCCCCAAGAAGGCCATGGGAGGCCCCCAAGAGGGCCCTGGAAGGCATCAAAAAATGTCTGGAGGGCCCCAGGTCCCCAAGACGGCCCAAGAAGGCCGGCCCAAGATGGCCCCAGGACGGCCCAAAGGAGACCCCCAAACGCCCAGACGGCGTTCTCCGTGCGCTCGTTGCGCTCACGCCAGCCCGCCTGTATTCCCCGTGCCTCTATCACCCTCTTTCATTATTTCTTGATTTCTCTCTCGCTCTCTCTCTCTCTCTCATTCTCTCCTTCTGCCTTCTCCGTCGACCTCCACGTTCGCGACATCCGATGGCCATCCTCATTCGCCCGCTCCTTCCTCTGGACCTTCTCCCCGTTTCTCCCTCCCTGCTCCCCCTTCCGCCTCTTCAGCCCCCCCTCTCATCCCTGCTCCCTTCCCGTTCCCCGTTCATCTGCAGGTGCCTTCGCAACAGTATGATGCTTCGCCGTTTGCCAGAGCCTTCGCGCGAGGAAGAAAACATCATTCCTTCCCCAATCTTGCGCACAAGCGTGCAAGCGCATCGGGCGAACGCGGTGTCAGCAGGCACCAGGGATATCAGAAACGACGCAGGCAGCAGGCACCATGAGCCGATCGCCCGTACAGGCCTCGAGGTCCCCCCTGCTGAAGCAAGAGATGATGTACGTATTGTGTTGCCGGGGAAGCGTCCGGAACAAGGCGCATGGCGCGAAGCGCCAATGCAATCTTGTATATATCTACATAGATAACTATACATACATGCCTCTATGTGTATGAATGGATGCGTGTGTGCAGGTATGTATATGTGTATGTGTATGTGTGTATGTGTATGTATGTGTGTATGTGTATGTATGTGTATATACATATGTCTGTCTGTGTATGTATGTATGTATGTATGTATGTATATGTGTACGTGTGTGCATGTATGTATGTATGCATGCATGTATGTATGTATGTATGTATGTACGTACGTACGTATGTATGTATGTATGTATGTATGTATGTATGCGTGTATGTATATGTGTAGGCATATACTTATATGTTATGTATGTATGTATGCGTGTATGCATGTATGCATGTTTGTATGTGTGTATGTATGCGTGTATGTATGGATGCATGTATGTATGTATGCATGTATGCATGTATGTATGTATGTATGTATGCATGCATGTATGTATGTATGTATGTATGTATGTGTGTGTATGTATGTATGTATGTCTGTCTGTCTGTCTGTCTGTCTGTCTGTCTGTCTGTCTGTCTGTCTGTCTGTCTGTCTGTCTGTCTGTCTGTCTGTATGTATGTATGTATGTATGTATGTATGTATGTATATGTGTACGTGTGTATGTGTATATAAGCGTGTGTTTATGTGTGTATGCATGTGTGATTGCATATGTGTATACATGCATGTGCGCATATATGGTTGTTTGTATGTATGTATGTGCTTGTGCATACATGCTTGTATGAATGGATGCTTCTATGTGTATCCGATGCGTTCAAAATTGTACGTGCTTACATAATTGTATGTCAACGTGTGCATGCACCGGCATGTCTGCAATACGTACGTTATACTCACTATGCGCGCGAGGATGGCGCCCGCGATGTCGTTGCAGCGTTACCCATCAATGTCGATGGTGAGAAATGTGTTCACTACGTGAAAGTTTCGTGTACCCCAACACACTCTTCTCGTATGACCCGATGCCACGTCCACTCTTCTCGGATTGGCGTAATTCCCAATCATCCGGACCGAGGGCGCGCCCTGCATTGTCGCCATGCCAGCCCAACCGCAACTGCCGATCCCAAGGTCCTCCTCCTCCTCCTCCTCCTCCTCCTCCTCCTCTCCTCCTCTCCTCCTCCTTCCCCTCCTCCTCCTCCTCCTCCTCCTCCTCCTCCTCCTCCTCCCCCTCCTCCTCCTCCTCCTCCTCCTCCTCCTCCCCCTCCTCCTCCTCCTCCTCCTCCTCCTCCTCCTCCTCCTCCTCCTCCTCTCCTCCTCCTCCTCCTCCTCCTCCTCCTCCTCCTCCCTCCCTCCCTCCCTCCCTCCTCCTCCTTCTCCTCCACCTCCTCCTCCTCCTCCTTCTCCTCCACCTCCTCCTCCTCCTCCTTCTCGTCCCCCTCGTCTTCCTCGTCTCCTCGTCCTCCTCGTCCCCCTCCTCCTCGTCCTCCTCCGCCTCCTCGGTGTGGGCGTGGGTGTGTGTGTGTGTGGGCGTGGGCGGGTGTGGGTGTGTGTCCGCCCTTCTTCTCCTCCACCTCCCCCTCCACCTCCTCCTCCCCCTCCTCCTCCCTCCCCCCTCACCATCCTTGCCATCCTGCCCTTTCCCGAGTGCGACTTTCCCCCGTGGTGTACATCGAGCCCGAGGGTCGGCGCGCCGTCGGCCGCGGCTCTGCAGGGGAAGCCGAACTGGCTGCTCTCGCCTGGACTGTCCTTGCCGCCAAGGCGATGCGGGGCGGAGGGACAACCGTAAAGAAGAAAAAGAA